TTACTGCGAGGTTAGTTTTTGATGATCCTATTAAACAAAGTTGTTGAACAAGTATGGGGGGTTCATAATGCCTATCTCCCACAAGTCACTTCTTTTTCGGTAGAACGCCAATAGACGAAATTTACAGGAATCATTCTTGCAAAACATTATGTATCTCTTCTTGTCGGAATCTGTCACTTTATAATCCACGCAGTGTTTCATGTGGTATTGCTTAATGGCAGCGACACAGTCAGCTTTATTTTTAAATTGGTTACCGACTTCTATGTCACCCTCCATTGGAATATGAGGATTCCGTGGCCAATCAAATGATGTTCTTTCTACATTTAGCGGCAGGGTTGTCATATGCGCCGGTGGGATGAATACATTCTCAAATGGAATGTATTGTTCATCTCTGTTGACTTCGTTGACATTGTTCCCTTCCTCAAACAAAGTAGTAAATAAATCATCAACATGTGCCTCGTTTTCTTCTTCGTCGTCTTCTTCTTCAACATCTTCGTGTGAAATTATGGATGGATTGATGACCTGAAAAATTTGAGTTTCTTGACATTGTGCAAATGTTACATATAATTCAATATGCTGAAACCCAAAATGTTCATTATTCGAGAACATCCTTTCAACATCCTCGTCGTTGTTCGAAAGATGGCGACCCAAAACCCACACTTTTCACCTCCCCACGAGGGAATGCACAATGACACTTGAGGATGTGCATATGTTGTTGGGTCTCCGTGTCAATGGGTTAGCGGTTGTAGGTAACACAAACGTGAACTATGAATTAGTGGAACAACTAATGGGGGTGCCTTTGGAACGGGGTGATAGGAAGGGGCAAAGCCTTAAAATCACATGGCTAAAAAGAATTTATGGTGCTTTGAACCTAACCGATGAGTCTCCCGAGGAACACAAAATTTATAAGACTAGAATTTATTTACTATTGCTTTTTGCATGTTTTTTATTTCCTGATACTAATGGTAATACTATCCATCTTCAATATTTACCATTATTAGAAGATTTAAGACAAGTAGGTAGCTACAGTTGGGGCGCTACTACATTAGCGCATCTATACAGAAATTTGTGTAGAAGCGCAATGAAAAATGTGCATAATTTTGCTGGTTGTGGTGTTTTGATTCAAGCCTGGGGATGGTCCAGAATGCCCAGACTGTCGCCGATCAACCCCAATCCATATCACTTTCCATACGCAACCAAGTAAGTATACAAAGCTTATGTATATATTATTTTCATCTATAATTTTTACTAACTATTTCTTTCATAGGTGGTCCGCGTATGGGATGAATTACAAAAAAAATTTGCATCATTGTGCTCCTGGGTATCAGACGTTCTTCGATCATTTTTAGAAAGGTGATGTATTGTCTCTAATCCCTTATTTTTTTTACTAGCACTTTCCATTTTTTTTCTCTAATCCCTTTTTAATTATGTTATAGTTTCTATGGAGACCCTATCTTGAACTTGAAGATGAGGATCCAACAGAATGCGATATGTGGAGTTCTACAACATTCATATTTTCTTTCACTTATGTTGAAATGCATCATTCAGATAGGGCGAAACTCAAATTCGGAATTAAACAAGACATTCCTGGTCCACCTACATGCATGGAAAGGTACCACAATAGTACAACGAACGACCAATGGAAATTCGATAATTGGAGAGACCATAACAGACAAGAACGTCATCACTGGATAAATCGTCGCTGCACTGTTCTACGAGGGAATATCATGGATACCGAATGTAAACCCAGTAGGGAATACATGAGTTGGTATAGATCTGTGACCAATTTGTATCTATCACAAAATAGATACTTATGGGACCCTCGAAACCAACCAACTTCATCAAACTTCCAAACACATCCCCTCCATGACTTGTAACACCCAACCACAAATATTTAACACCCCATAACAAATATTTAACACCCCACAACAAACATTCAACCCCAACCCAACACAACCACCTTATACCCCAAGCCAACACTACAATAAACCTTACCCATCATTTAGCCCAACCCCCTTCAACATCCAACAACAAAACCCAACCTCATCATACCCCCAATATAACCAATACTCATTCTCTCAACCTACCCAACAAGAACACAACTACCAAACACCCCAACCACAAGTCTCTTTTGTCCCTTCACAAAACTTCACCCTTAATTCATCTCAAGACCAACATACATACACCCCCTACATGACTAACACAATGCCACCTTCAAACCTACCAAATTGGAGTAACGAGGGTACAAGATTAAGTTATGGAAGTGCGACGGCGATACCAACTGTCGATGATTTCAATGATGATTTGGTCGCTGAATTCATGAACCCTAACAATGATGCATGACCATCTACACAACCCTAAAACGTTGAGGTTGATCGTAGAAGGTCCACCAGAAATGTACAAGCTCATGCCTGTGGAACCCACCAACGCTTACGTCGACGGGGTCGAAATTAATTAAGGGTGAATAAGAATTTTTAGTTCATTTATTTTAATGTACTTTTTTATTTCAAGAATAAATAAATATTTATTTTAGTTTATTTATTGTATTTTATTTTATAATTATTATTATATATTTCAATGTAGTAATTTATTTTAATTAGAACTATTTTTAAAATAATTATTTTTATTTATTTTATTTTAATTTACTATAATTATCTATTTAATAATTATTAACTAAATATAATAAACATAATAAATAAAAAACAATATAATAAATATAATAATTAACTAAATATTATTTTTTATTCTAATATTATTTTATTATATTATTATTTATTTAATAATTATTTTATTTTAACAATTATTATTTATTATTAACTAAATATAATAAATAAAAAACAATAATAATTAAAACAAAAAAAAAACATATCAGTAACACATTGCCGCTCATTGGAAGGGCGGCTCTCAAATCAGCAGCACGTTGTCGCCCATTGGAAGGGCGGAACTGTTATATCAAAAATTAAAAAAATGACATTCTGATATATATGTCTAAAAATGTGACATTTTAGATAATATCTTGTAAAAATGAGGGAGGAAAGAAAAAAATTCCTTTTTTTTTAGTTTCTTTTAATTACTCTTATTTTTCCTATTCCCAGATCGTGTGTGGCCAGCAATAGATGGGAGGGGCGGTTACATACTTCTTGTCTTTATCATCCCTCTCTTATATTAGGGTTAGTATAGATATGGGCCTTTTAAAAGCCCAATCCGCCTGGAATCCTTCTGGTACTTGTCATTCTACTAGTTCACCCTTTTATGTTTTGTTAATTAGATTTTAGTTAATTAATTTTCCTTCTAATTATTAATTAATTCATTTATTTATTTGTTTATTTTCAGGTGTATTATATATATATATATATATATATATATATATATATATATATATATATATATATATATATATATATATATATATATATATATATATATATATATATATATATATATATATATATATATATATATATATATATATATATATATATATATAATTAATTAATGTACAAAGTTACGAAATCAACCTAACTTGAAAAAATAACAAAGCCTTCTAAACATGTTAACTTTTCAAAATTCATGTGATAGCTAATTTTTTTCTCTAAGTGATTGTTTTGTGACTAGTTTTGTATTGGGTTGTTGATTTTTTTATCCATGGTTTCGGTGATATCATACTGTTATGCCACCAAAATTCTTTACATATCAATTTGAATAAATCGCCGCATTATTGCGTATGATATTATACTCACATTTTCATTATGTACAAATCTGTTTCGAAAATATTATGATTAATTTTTGTATACTATTTCTTAACAAAGAAATTTAAAACAGAACATCTTTCAAAACAAGCAAACTTTAGACCATTGCCAAAATACAATTTCAACTCAATGAAAATTTTGTTTCAAAAATAGTTAATCAAACATTTTCTTAATTAAATTACGAAAGAACTGAGTTCTTGGAATCTTACACTCCTTGGATTCTTGAGTAACTGCTCTTGGGGCGCACGCTTTGGATTGTGGGTGGCTCGACCTTTCGTCCCTAAAATACGTGCCCTATTTATTTGGATAAAGTCGTTCATTGTCAATCAAATACAAATTTCATAAATTAATTGAATGAAAAAGTTTTCGTTGGGATTTATCATTCCAATAATGCCTTGATTAATTGGTTGCGAGACTGACGTATCGTTTATCGAATAATCGTCATTGTCCCTCAAAATACTGAACTCTTTTCAAAAACTTCTAATTCATTCAAATCTTAATCATTTTTTAAAGCACTTAGTCCAATCGAATCAAAATCTTTTCATAATTAATTTACGAAAGAACTGAGTTCTTGGAGTCCCGCATTCTTTAGATTCTTGAGTGTCCGCTTTTGGGGCACACACTTTGGGTTATGGGTTGCTCGACCTTTCGTCTCTAAAATGCTTGCCTTGATTACTTGGACAGAGACGTTCATTGTCCAACAAACGTATTTTTCGTAGTTAATTTATTGAAAAATGTGTCGTTGGGATCTAGCATTCCAATAACGCCCGATTAATTTGTTGCGAGGCTGACGTCTCATTTATTGAATAATCGTATTCTCCCTCAAAATAAGGCACCTAGTTTCATACTTCTACGGCTAAGGCCATTTTCAACTGTACAAACAAACACGCATTCCAATAACCTCTCGTGACCCAATGAGACAACACAATAAAAAATTCTCCTTGCTTTTCCACCAAAAGCACAACTCTATCTTCTGTTTTATTTTAAACACATTTACGGGATTTTGTTCTTATCATCTCTGCCACTATGTTGGTAACTACTATGCCAGTATAAATTAATTACAAATGACACATACAGCTACACATTTTCATTTTTAATTTTAAATATAGCATAAACTATATAAACTTGGCATTAGTTCAATACAACAATTTTGGAGAATGTCTTCACCTACCCCAAAATACAACAGAACCTATCAAGCTATCAAGCTTAGTAGTAATAACATTAAATAAACCAAAACATAATCAACCCCTTTTAAACAAGAACCAAAACTAAACCCAAAATCCCAAGCCCAAGTCTCACAAAACCCAGCCCACGAAGCCCGTTAGACCCAGAAAACCAAACCCTCACATCATCCACAACAGGCCCACAAAGAGAGCTCATATCATCACTTCTAGTATTGTAGTAAACACTATAGAAAGCAATTCTAGTCATGTCAGCTTTGGCAGTGAAATTCAGATTAGAAACTTGAAACGTAGAATTAGAATTCGGTGTGTAATGAATGTTCTGAGTTTGGTCGCCAGCAAAGGCCATAACAGCAAGAGGCTCTTTGCATTTGTCATCAGCATGACCTAATGAAAAAGTTAAGGTATAGGCCTTTTCAGGTTTGGTTTCAACCATTTGAGATATGATACCTTCTTTTCCCGAGAGAAGCTCAATCGCTCTCCTCCCTTGCGGAACTGCATAATGATCAGAATCAATATAACGAACGGCTCGGTTCGATTCAACTATCCAACCAGGGAGCGATGAAGTCTCTTCATCTAGGTTGGTCGGAAGTAAGACCCCCATTGACGTGTTTCGAAACATCCATGGACCTTCTTCAAAATCACCATTGATTACCGCATTGTCTACAATCCCAACATAAACAACATTAAAAGAGTTCGCAAAGTGTTTTCAGCAAAGTATAAATGCATTGAGTTATAAACATTACCTTTGGGCTTATCAGGAGTGAAAAGCTTCTTGATAGCAATGTTATCAATAATAGGCCCACAAGTAGGATCATCCTCCATACCGGGATTCTTAAACACCAACTTAAAACTATCTTCATCCGCATTAAAAGAAACAGCATAAGGGTTCCAACCTTGAACATTATAAAGTGTCTGCAAGTCTATCGTCTGTGATGCGGACGACACTGACACATTAATAGATTCAAACTGCGCACACGTGCGAGCCGCACAGAACGTTACCGAGTAAATAGAGCCTTTTTCCACAGGTAATTCTTGGCTTATTTCGGCGTCATTACCTATTCTGACCGCGTGTCTACCTTGTGGTACAATGAGGATCATTCCACCTTGTTTTTGACCTGATTCGACTAGCTCAACTGTGCCGTTTGATTTCCAGCTCGGGACTTCGCTGGGTCCCTCTACTATTGCTTCGTTAGGAAAGCCGTTGGATGGACTTGCCTCAAAATCTCCGTTTGGTACTAAACCTGTAAATAATAAAATAAAATGAAAAATTTTTATTAACGTTATAACGGTTTTTTCTAATTTACTATTTGACCCTTTTGGACCACTTAGTGAAATTTAGATTAGCTTATCCAAATGATGGTTCTAAGGCCACATTGGAGCAATAAATTATGGAACAAAATAAGCAAGAGTTCAAAACTGTTTTAATACATGCCAACTTGCGAAGAATAGGAAATGAAAAATAAGAACAAAAAAAGTAGCATTGAAAAATGACATACGGGAAGAAACCAAACAGAAAATAGGTGGAAAAGATTCGAATGAAGAAAAACACGACAAAATATGATGATGATAGAAAACAAATTTAGGTCTTGTACCATCCCGCGTTCACCGCGTGGGTCCCAACACATGCCTTCATTACGTGATTTTTTTTTGACCAAGAACAACTATAAAAAAAAATTACTTTCTTTTAATTGAAAAGTTTTTCTTTAATAGTTTGAAACCTGACGATTATTTTCATAATATTGAAAGATAATATATAACTAATAAGCTAACATATAATTTAATTAACAAGATTATGGGTTGAGTTTGTATGGGAATAGGGTTTAGCCGTTTTAGGGTTTAGTGACATAAAGGACAATAATGGTAAAAGTATTACGAGAGTTTGTGTTATTTACGGAAAGGTCCTTACACTTTGCTCAAGATTGGAGGGAAAAAGCAAGTATTGAAAAGCGGGAACACTGGCAATAACGTCATTTCACCATTTTCGTATCCCTAGGATGCGAAAAAGTCTTTGGTTTGGGACCCATATGTTTACGGCTTACCAACCATATATGCTTTCTTTTACATCTTGCTCTTATTAGTCCTACAATACTATACTAGTACTATGGCCATGCTATAATATATGCTACTTGACTATTTTGATCACCATGTTTTTAGGGTAAAGTTTTTATCCTTTCACTTTATCAATTATTGTAGGATGGCGATGTTTTGCGGTCATTTTAGATTTAGATCATTTTTTTATCTTACACAAAACTTACTAGAGGTGGCTTCTAGGTGCACTCTGCAAAACCAAAAAAAACAACTGATTTTTTTAAAAATGTAAATGGAACGGGACTTGTCCATATCATCTAAATTGCTCTTTCTGTTAATTAAATTTGTTATAGTAATATATTTTATAATAACAAATATTACTACATTTTTGTGTCTTATATTTTACTCTAGAGATAGCAAGTTTGTTAGATATATCACTGTCATCTACAGTTTTGTACACAATCAACGTGGGTCATATACAATTAGGACTTAGAATTTGGTCATATTTAGAAGATTAGTTGCATAATATATATATATTTTTTATCAGAGCTTAGAAGTACTATATGTGAAAAACTACAACCCTAGTACCAATTTCTCAATTATTTTGCCATCATAGTATATCCTTAATTTTTATTTTCAGTCCTTTTCTAGCTACTACATTTTCTAACTACACTCCTGACATAGGTTCAAGGAGAAATAAAATTGAAACATTTGAGTCGGTTGAAAACAAAACAGCACAACAGGATAACCAAAACCAACTGAAAATCATTGAATTAAAAAAAATCAAATTAGTGTTGGAAATCATGATGGAAAATGATATTGTTAGTTTCACTTCTTGTTGAAGCGTGAAATCTTAAACAAAATAAAAAAGAACAAGCTAGACAGAACAACATTCATAATCATTTTAAGGTTTCACAAATTAAACAACATTATTCTAAGCTAGTAGAAACAAAACCCAAAGATATGCAAAAGAAGATGTCAGATCTCAGCAGATAAAAAACAAAGAAAGAAGAGAAACATTACCATCTTCTGCGGTTGTTGCGAAAGCCATATGAAACAAGAACAGAGCCACAAACATGAAGAAGACCCATTTCATTGTTGTGGAGCTCCAAGCCATTTTCACACTGTCCTTATCTGATACTCTGTTTTTGAGGAGCACAAAGGTAAAGAGAGTAAGAGGAGTGAGTGTCCTTTTATCTAAGATTCTCTCTCACAAGGTGCTAGCACTAGTAGTATAGTACTATTCTCTTGTGTAGCTTAGGGTAAAATCACTTTATTGAAATAAAGTGATTTTAAAATTCTTGTGATCTACATTGTGGGGACACTTTTTTGTTTTGCTATTATTGTAGAAAGAGTGACATTGGCATAATAAATTTTGTATATAGATGGATGTTATAAACTTTTTAAGGGTATAGTAATATTAAAGGCACTACATTGTTTTTTGATGTTACCTATTTAATTGTGTAATACAAAAATTTATATTTATTTGATGGACAAACTAAATGTACTGGTTCTGAGATTTTGGTCTCTAAGCAGGCCCACTCCTGCGCCGTATCTGATAGGACATACTACATTACAGTATTCACATTATATGTTTCTTTGGTATCACGCACTAACCTTCTAGATACATGTTTAAAAGATTTTAGGGTTAACAAGTCCCTGCCCATATAAGTGTGTTTGTTTTATCCATATTTCAAATTTGGCATATAAAATTAGGGTAGAACACCGGTCGATTTGAGTTGGGTTTACTCTCGATATAACAAATCCATTGAAATTATGGGTGGATTTGTTAGGTTCAATTTAAACTAAATTTTAATTAATTTGATTGGATTCGATTGAATCGATTAAATATAAAGTTTGGACCCTCAAATATAATAAATGGTCTAATTTAACACTTTTACATCTAACAAATAAACTTGGACCTTCAAATATACAAATGGCCTATAAAGAATCATGGTAAGTTATCTAATAGTCATTCACACCAAATTTTAAGAGAATTTCTTATCTCACCTCATGGGTTTCTTTTCCACCATGTGGTTTTTCACAAATATTCCCAGATTTTAGAGATATATTTCCGGACACGTCCCATGACTTAATAATATTCTGAAGATATGTCTCCGGAGCAATTTAAACCTTAAACAGTCATAACATATCTCTCATAGCCCATTTGAATTTGAATTTGTTCAGAGATGCATTTACGGAAATTTTCTAGAGATATATCTCCAAAGTGTTTCAGAATAATTTTTTTAAAACGCATTGTGTATTTGTTCGCATATGAATTATAACATTTGACATGCCAAAATAACATAACAATATAGTAATAGGATGTCATACGTCACGTAAATCCAAAATGTAATAACAATATCAAGAAAAATGTACAAACTATAGTACTGAAACAAAATAAATACAAACAACTATTTGGTGTGCCTGACAACCTCTCGTGCCTCCTCGGTCATCGATCTTCCCTGTCCTCGTGTGATGTCTGCGGTATAAAAGTGCCACACGTGCCTTCGCAATAATGACATCCAGTACTCGTCTGACAGCAGACCCCTCAGGAAAAATACCATCGTCAATGCCTGCCTGCGCCATCTCCATTATACAACGACAACGAGGTAAGACATCCTCAGTATGATCCATTTGAGCCTGCTGTTCCTCTAGAATCTCCTAATGAGCGGGTCTTGGTGGATCTCCTGGAGCAGTCGGCACCATGTACGGATGTGAGACCCTGAAGAACCACCTGACGTATTCGTCGACATAGCTCCAATCATTCAGCACTATGGTAGCATGAACATCATCAGGTACCAGATGACTCTGGTAATCAACAAACATCTCATCTATCTGTATACGAGTCAAGGTCGAAGGTGCAGAGACAACAGGGTGTTTAGGGATGATCTGGGTGTACCTGAATTGCCGCATGACGCGCTCGGGCAGATGAGGAACAATGATCGTCGACGAGCAGGCTAACCATCTGAAGTATACTGATATGTCATCAAATGGTTGTGTTTGACGGTGATCCACGTAGCAGTTGAAGTGGATATCCTCAGCAACCAAGCAGTCAAGATAGACTCTAAAAGGCTTGACCGCATGGTTCCCTCTCAGCAGGATAAAAGCACAAGCACGAGGCATCTCCTTAGTGTACTCATTCCAACACAACCAGGCAGCAATGTGCGGGAAGTGCTGGAGGATCCAAGCCTGAAATAAAAATAAAAAAAGTATTCAGGGATAAAGAATTATCGCAAATATGAAATGAAAAAGATAAAAAACAATCAAGGATGAGAAATTATTACCACTAGTAGGGTCGTGTTGCCTGTGGTCTGCCTCGTCGTCCACCGACATCCATCTCTCAGCTTCAAATACAAATAGGCCAAGCAAGCTGCCCCTAGTTGTACTCATGGATCCGTGTGTGATCCAAGAAGTATCGGAGGTATGCAACGTGTGGTTGACCAAAGTGTAACCAGTCAAGCACAGGTTAGTCAACCCATAAGCAGTGAGAACCGACTGAAACCACTCCGCATCATGCTTATGCAATGCTAACATCTTCTGCCCATGGTTCAGAAACTTCTAGGGATCACGCACCTGCGAATTTCCATAAATAATTAATGTCAGCAACAATCAATGTTTGAAATAATCAATGTCAGTAATTGAAATTAATGTAAAAAAATATAGTAACAATGTGATTAATGTTACCTCTTTGTCCCAGATATGCCTGACAGTATGGTATGGGTACAAAGGAAGTAGGGACATATCAGATGGTCCCCCTCCGAAAGCCTCTAGCTTGGCATCAGCAACATCATTCTCCAGAGGTGGCACCGATGCATCCCAATCAACAGGTGCGACCGAGTCAATAAGAGGTGGCACTGATGCATCCCGATCAACAGGTGCAACCAAGTCAATAAGAGGTGGCATCAAATCAACAAGAGGTGACACAGGTGCATCCCGTTGCCTGCGGGAGGATAGAGGAAGTGACGCGTCAGCTGATGCATCTCGTGGTCTGCAGGAAGAAGATGAAGAAGGTGGAGTGGGCTAAGACGTAGATTGAGTGGTCTAAGATGTAGCTAGAGTTGCCTGAGATGTAGATGGAGTGGCCTGAGGTGAAGGCTGAACCATAGGAGTGGACTGAGCCTTAAGAGTAGACTGTACACCAGCACTCAATGCCTCTCCCTGGCCAGAGCTACCTGCTACATCTGAACCCGGTAGACTCCGCTCTCGTCTAACGGATGTGTGCTGGGCAACCCGTCTATGCCTCAATCGGTGGACTCTGTCTACCATTATGCCGATATAATATACATAATTGTATAATGAATTTACGAAATAAGAAAAATTTTAAAACAAAAATAAATAAAAAATAGATTGATAAATTTCGGAGATACATCTCTGGAAATATTCAACGTCTCATGTACTCTGGGTAATTTCGGAGATACAACTACGAAAATGTTCCGCATATGTATCTCCGGAATCACCCGGAGTACATGAAACGTTGAATGTTTCCGGAGAATCACAAATTTGAAACCCTGATCGTCCATTTGAGCCAACAAACAATACACACAGTTACTCTAAACTATGTTTAATCTGACTTCTAAATTGAAATTCTGGTATACAGATCTCAGATATCCTTAGAGATATCGAGACATTTGATCTCTGCTAAGAACAATGGCAAGAAGCAACACAATAAAAACTTACAGAAAGTAAAGAAACACGCAGTAATTGTTAACCCATTTCGGTGAATAACAACACATACGTCTGAGGGATATCAAGCTAGAAATGAAATCCACTAGATAGTATTAATTCTAAGCTAAACAACCTCTGGTTTACAACTTATCACTTAATCATTACCCGTGCTTAATTTCTACCTAAGACTCTTCCTAGGTATGAGACCCTTCTCAATTTTCTTTCAATCACAGCAGTGACAAAAATTACAACTCAATCTAAACAGTCTAGCTCAAGTATCAACACGACACAAGAGAGACTCACAAAAATACAAACCCTAGTACACACTAAGCAAAAATGTATGTTTCACACTTTTCTTAGGTTAAATCCATCCTATTTATAACCATGAACAAAACTGGATTTAGGCTTCAAAAATGCAGCAATTTTGTTACACAGAATCTGCAACTGATTCTCCAAAAGAATAGTTTCTTCAATCCAAAGTTTCCTAAAGTGACTTCTCACTTAGAAAACGACATCTTCAGATTCCTACAAAATCGCTGATTCCTCAATCTTGAACGCCACCTAGGATAATCAAGTATTCCCAAAATAATCTCAGATCTGAAAATAATATATCATAAACAAAAACTGAAAAGTAGCAGACAAAGATGTTGAATAATCATGATAGGACATCTCCTCTGACATCTTGATCTTCAGTTAATTATTCATGTTAGGACATCTTGTCCAACATCTATCAGTCAAGTTAGTTTTACCAAAATTGATGTCAACCTCAAAAGTTTTATGTTGCGATGGAAATAGGATATCAAATTATTAATTAATTTGAATCTCATCTTTAGTTCACAACCACTCTTTGATTTATCCGAAGGAAAAGGTCAAAAGAGGAAAAACCTATTTTTGCATCGTAAACACGATGCGGGGAGAGATCTAGGTAAGAGGTTGGTTAAGCTTAGGGAAGGTATTAGCACCCTAAACTTTTGTAGTACTCTACAAAAACCTTTTGTTTATTTTTACTATTTACTTTAATATTTGCTTTAGGGTATGTATGCCAAGGGTTAGAAGATAAAAGAAATACCTAAGGGTTAGTCCTAAGTTTACTCGGCAAGATTCGCATCTTGTGCCTACGTATCCTGGATAGGGAGTGGAATCAGAGTAATCATAGTTCCCCTCGAAAGGGAGGCTAGAAACTTCTTGACTATGGTCAAGGTTTCAATGGGAATAAACATTCATAAGGAAGCGCTTACGTGGAGTGCGGCAACTCCAATCTCTACGTTGAAATTGTTAATTTGGAATTAGGGATTCCACGACGGGAAACTCTAAAACAGAGTACGGCGACTCTTTGACCTAATGCTAGGGTAAAAGGTGTTTTCGTTCACGGCGGGACACCTAGGCTATTAGGGTTTGAAAACGTCAAAGGTTAGGGTTATTGACTCGGCGATCAAATTGATAGACCTA